CTAAGTGGGTCAACATCTGGGACGAGACTCACCCGTACAAATGAATGAGAAGCGGACTCTCTTCATGGTGGTCTCTGTCGCGTCACACCGACTGTACAGGCTTATTTTGGCAGCTCTTGAGCAACGAATCGCCATTATAGGGGAAAGGGTATGTCCTCTCGTATTTAAACTGTGACAGTCAGACATGTTGAGAAAATTTCGAACTTTTCATTTTCTGCACAAGCTTTTTTTCAAAGCATACCTGTGAGAGCTTTCATCCGGTCATTATCCGATGTCAAGAGACCGTGCATTTAGTGGCCAGTCCAGTGAGAACTGCTCACTATGACTGCGTTCCCATAAACCCATCGTGCTTGATGGATCTAACTTGGCGGGGATTCTCGCTAAATTGCATTTGGTGTAATCAGCTTAATTGTCTGGCACGTTCCCTTGAGTAACTAGGGGATAATTGACTATCCTATCCTAATTACCTCTAGAGGTTTGAGTAGGCGCACCAGACATTAAAGCCGCATACACTGAATGCAATTTGGCGAGAATTCCCGCAGAGTTAGATAGATCCACCAGCACGATGGGTTTATGGGAACGCTCTCTATCACCCTGTCCCAGATGTGAGACACGCTGTGCCTCTCCCAGGTTCTCTACATTGCCTCAACTGATGGAGTGATCGGGTGCCTCAATGCTGATGATGATGATGAGGTCGACAGTCAATTGGCATCAGTGTGAGTGAAGAAGTCCCTACTATTGGGATAAAAGCTCTCACAGGCACAGTTTGTATTTATGCTGTCAAAAAGTTTATAAATGAAGCGAAAAACAATTTAAAAGAATAAAGATTTTCTCAACATAATTGGCAATGCTGCACAGTGTTTAGCACGCACCAGAATTTGATGGCCAGATTAATGTGAGGGAGAGAAACAACCGCGATGCTTTGGGCATTTGTATTGCCTGCGGTAATGACTTCATGGTTAAATACATTGGGTTTTTATATAAACGCTGTACTAGATATTCACTTTTTTATTACAACAAGGATGAACTCGGCCTGCTCACTGCCTTAATTTGGTAGAGGTACTGAAGGCTCCATCTCGTACTAAAGACTCCATAGTCACCATTCAGAGGATTATAAGATGGTCTCTTGGGTATTTTTGTAAATCGCTAAATGCCACGTTTTATTTCCCGAGATGGATTAGGTGATACGTTCATATGAAATAGCATTATCCTGAAGCATCCTGCTCCCTCGGCTCGTGAAAGCGATTTTTTATTCTTCGTCCTTAGTAATACAATGTAATTATACTACGTGATTCGTGATTTTCAACTCTCATTTTCAATGAGATATAAATAAAGTTTTATTTAATGTGATTTGTGAACTGATGGTTTATTTCCCTTGATCTGTGTTCACCCTTCCACACCCCCTCCCCGCCCTAGTGGGGCTCTCTTACAGGGGAATGCAGATGGTTTCTATGATAAACAGTTTAATTAAATCATTTTTCATCAAAAACATTAAATAATGAGGCAAAGTTTTGTCAGAAAGCGACTTTTTGTTACAACTAAACAGGCAG